CCATTTTATATCATTTCTCCTCTATCTCCTCCTTACCAGAACAGTTTACTTTTGCTATGCTTATTATAATATAATAAGCACATTATATTGTTATAATTGTTCATTCATGGGGATGGTCTTACTTAATTCTTTATATCTATCTTTTCCCTTTATTCTGGAAATGAGACCCTTCCATTTTGCCTCTCAGGTCTTTCTGGTTTGGCTCGGGGAACAGGCATGTGACAGTAGAATCCTAGCCAGAAGCTTCTCTGAAATACTGTTATAGAAAAATATAGGAAGGAGCATATTTAAGTCCAGATAAAGTACAGCCAGTGCTGCCTGAATACCTTAATGATGCCAGATCTTGTCTGGTCTTGGAGGCTAAAGCAGGGATCAGTTATGGTTAGGACTTCGATAGGAGACCAAATATGAATGCCAGATGATGTAAGCTGTAGTTCAGAGGATGGAACTGGAAAAACCACCTTTGAAATTTTTTTGCTGATGAAAACCCCGTGGAATTCATAGTGTCACTATAGCTTGATAGATGACTTGAATACGCCACTTATAAATCTATAATGTGCCTCCCACCCACCACCCCCGAATGATGAACAGTTGAGGGCAGAATGGATAAGGAGAATGGATGAAGTGATTAGCAAAAATCTGTAGATCTGCAAGGTTTTGAAATCGTGTTCTACACCAATACAGATCAATAAGTGAGAATGGTTAGATGACCACTTGGAGAAAATGGGGTTAAAAGTAAGCAGTGGCAGTTTACTGTCGTAAATGTTTCACATTTGCCAGCAGAGAGCTGTCCTAAATGATTATCTATCACCTCCATGCCATATGTGAGCTTCTAAGTGACATCTGTAGGTATTATAGCAAGCGAGCAGAAGGGATAGCAGTCAAGAAAACAGTGGAAATCATTTAAATGTAATTGCAGTGGGTCTTGAACTGAGCAACCAAACACTTGCCCCCCATGCTATTCTGTTTGCTTTAAAACAACTCTTTTAAGAAAGTCCTATTTTGATTGCTTTCACAGTGAGTAAATATTTACTTTCTTTAAAAATCTTGTTTTTAAATTTCTAGTTAACATGTTAAAATGGGAAAGACATTATATTTTAAACATTGTCCTTTGATGAGAGTGACTTAACAGGAATCAAATATGTGTTCATCTCTAGAATGCTAACTTCTTAATTGATTAGATAGCTGTTCTATTTGAAATTCATATAATTGGTTTTACACTTGTAATAAACATATAATTTTGCTTTGTTTGTTTTTTGTTTCGAAGCATTTCTCCATGTAGTTGCCTTGAATCTCCTCTCAGGAGAAAAGTGGTGTATACATTCAATAAATATTTAATAATGAAGAGTGTTTTGTCTTGAAAATACCAATCTAGAATGTCAGTTTGTCTGAATGAGTTTAGCCATAAGAGATTGCTAAGTGACTGAATACTGTATATGTTTCCTTATTTGCTTAAGGTCTTCTGCGCAACCTGCTGCAGTCTAAAATGCAAACTACTATATATGGATAGAAAGGAAGCCAGAGTATGTGTAATTTGCCATTCGGTTCTCATGAATGGTAAGTAACAGATTTTGGAACCAGATGTGAGTTCTATGGCTTTTGTGCTGGACATCCTATTATTTCCATCATATTGTTCACATATCTTTTCTGACTACAGAAAATGTTTTTTCAATAAAATTATTTACTGAAAATTTTGGCAATTTATATTTAAAGCCAGTGACTCTAGTGCACTTATAATATTCCTTGGATTTTCTTTTCCTAGAAATTTCCAAGATTTATGAAATAAAGTTAGCTGTAATGTGTGCTCTTGGGAGTTTTACATGTGCTTTAGAGTTAGACAGATGCCAAGGACTTTAATAGAAATAGATTTGAATTTGTTTTCTGTTAGTGAAACTTACACAGTTTTGTGTATTGTCAAAGGCTTTCGTGGCTGGAATCGCTGGGTTGTTGTGTTTTCCGGGTTGTATGGCCATGTTCCAGAAGCATTCTTTCCTGATGTTTCGCCTGCATCTATGGCAGGCATCCTCAGAGATTGTGATAATGCTTGCCATAGGTGCAGGCATGTCTCACAACCTCTGAGGATGCCTGCCACAGATGCAGGCGAAATATCAAGAGAGAATGCTTCTGGAACATGACAATTCAGCCCTGAAAACTCACAACAACCCTTATGCAGTTTTGGTCACTAATGATTGGTCACTAAAGCAGGTGGAGCCCCCAGTGGCATAATGGGCTAAACCCTTGGGCCGGCAGGACTGCTGACCGACAGGTCAGTGGTTCGAATCCAGGGAGAGTGGGTTGAGCTCCCTCTGTCAGCTCCAGCTCCCCATGCGGGGACATGAGAGAAACCTCCCACAAGGATGGTAAAACATCCCCTGGGCAATGTCTTTGCAGGTGGCCAATTCTCTCACACCAGAAGCGACTTGCAGTTTCTCAAGTCACTCCTGATTTGGGGGGGGGGGGGTGGGACTAAAGCAGGTAAGTGTATTTTTTTGCAGTTTAGTTTTTTGTTCTGAAACAGTGGTCCTAGGTGTAAAAATAGTTTTCAAGAAAGAAGAGTAAGGCTTAAAAATGTGCTTTTATGACTTAGGAGATCAAAGGAAAGAAATGCTTTTAAGTGATACATATAGCAAGAGTTACCTTGACAGTAGTATCAAACATCTATACCTTATTCTTTAGTTTTGGTGCTTCTAAAAGGATGCCTGATCTAAAGACTGAATATACTGCTTAGAAATATCAGCTCCTTTCTATCTGAAAATATTTCTAAAAATTATGTAGAAAAATTTTATTCTGCTTTATGAAAATGTTTAAAGTATTCAGTATTACTTCCCTTCTCTGTAGGCTGATAGAAATGTAACAGGAAATGGCGGGTTTATTTCTAATGTACTGTACGACTCCTGTATCCGCAAGACTGATATCCACAGTTTCATAAAAATATGTCCTCTCTAAGCATTTTCTCTAGGCAGAAATCTGTGGTATTCTTGGGCCACAAATTCCTCATTTCAATAGGGTTTACTATTATTTGTGACATCCTGTATTCACACGAAATACGGGAATGGGTAGATAAGGACAAAGAATTGTGTTTCTGTGTAGTGTTGGTACTCAATCTCAAATGTGACTGTATATGTATACTTTTCTTTCTAAGTCCTTTCCAAACAATATTTTGGTTTTTAAAAATTGTAAATGAGTGAGGGAGAGAAATTTCTTTCATAACAGTTATTAGGATCAGAATAAATGGATATTAATTTACCTTTTTATATTTTGACTTCCAAAGCTTCAGGTTGAAACAGTATTTGACAATAGAGATATATTTCATTGTTAATAAATATTAGACCAAATAATGATAAATGTTAGAGATTTATCATTAATTTTGTATTTTGTTCTAATTCACAAACTTGAGTTCAGTCCTGTTCTTTCCTGAGAAGGGAGCGCTGAGTTCTTGGCATTGGTGGACATCCTGTTTTCTAATTTGTTATGGTTCTAGGAAATAGTTTGTTCCAAGTGGCTTAGGAAGAGCTGTAGTAGCAGCTCTGTCCCTGAACTGATGACAAAACAACTATAGTGAGCATTGAGGTTTAATAAGCATATTGAGTTGAGCTATCTATCACGCCACTTACAGATTGTAAATGCAGCTTGTGCATCAGGCAAACACTGTATTTCATCACATAATAGTCACCACCACATAATAGTCGTAACTCATTTTTGAGTGCCAAAATTTGGTATTTTTGTTTTCCTTGAATAATAGTCACGTCCTTGATTTAGACAGCCTCTGTGCTGTAAAGTCTGCTAGCGGCTATGCTACCCTTCCACGTGTCTTGCTGCCCTAAACAGCTTCATCAGCTTGTCAACCCTCTTTCAACAAGGGTGCTTCACTCGTTTGCCTACCCATCTACTCCCCCACTCACCCACTGCCTGGTGCTTCATTCACTCAAGAAGCATCATGGCTGAAAGGGAGTGAGTGAGCAGATGGGCAAACGGGTGAGCGAATATATGAATGAAGTGCTGGCTGTCAATGGACAGATGGACAAGTGGATGGGCAAGCGAGCAAATTTCAGCCTTGCTGAAAGAGGGCAGGCAAGTAGATGAAGCTGTTTAGGGCAGCAAAACATGTAGAAGGGAGGTCTAGCTGCTAGTAGACTGTTCACAGCGGTACATAAAACTGCCACCCCCTTTTTGCGTAATAGTCACACACCCTTTTTATTTAAAAAAAGGATTAAAAGTATGCAATAAAATACAATATTTGGACTGTAGTGGTTGGATAAGTGTCCACTTGTAGTGTGAAGAACAAAACATATTTCTTAGCAGGTGGCTCTTAAAATGAAAGTCAATTAATATTTTTCCATATATTAAGTATCTATGGCCTCAATTTCTTAAATTGTGCTTCTAATGCCAATGATGTTTTATTTATCTAGAGTTATTTATTCTTTTATCCAAACTAGAGCTGCAGCTTTATAGGATAGCTTAAAGTTTGGTATAGCCATAGCCCCTCTGTCTTTGGCATCTTGCAATTATTTCATCTTAATTTTTGTTGTTTTTCCATTCCAAATGACTTTCATTGTTTGAAGCAGGTATCATTTAATTATATTGGTATTGTTTGGGGGAAAAAACATCATTTTAGGGTGAACATTCATTTTAATTGTAGATATTCTTCCCAGCAGACAAAGTTCTAGCTGGAACCATAATTTTAAATCTTTTTTGTATTCCATTCCATACTTTTTCACAGTTGTTTTTATATAAGTTTAGATTTTTCATAGTCATGTAGATTCCCAGATACTTGACTTTGTTGACAATCTCAGTACCTGTCATTTCCTTCAGGGTTCCTTCCTTCTGCTGAATATTCTTAATCATTATTTTTGTTTTCTGTTTGTTAATTGTAAGCCCAGCCACTTTTCCAAAGTCCTCAGTAATTTCCAATATTTTAGGTATTGTCTCTATGGGCTCTTCTGTTGCTATCACCATCTACAAAGAGATTCAATTGGATGATTTCTTTTTTGGTTTTCACTCCTCTGGTGGAGTTTTCTTGTCGTATTTTTCTTACCAACACTGCTACTGCTGTTATTAATAGTAATGGTGAAAATTGACATTTTTTCTTACATCTTTCTGGATTTCAAATCTTTAAGTCAAATTGCCATTTATTTGTATATTTGGATATTGTTTAATATATTTTGCTCCACCCCATTCAAGAAATTTAATCATCTTGAGCATTTCTTTCATAAATTCCCAGCTTAAATTGTTGAATGCTTTTTCTGCATCCAAGAAGAAGAGATCACCTTGTTTTTCATTGTGTTAATGGAAGTATTCTATCCAATAGAGTATCACTGTCTTATTTTCTCTGATTTGCCTTCCAAGTAAGAAGCTTGCTTGATCTTCCATGTATCCATTCAGTTAGTATATTTTTTAGTCTGATTGCCAGCATTGTAGCGAATCATTTATAATCTGGGTTTAGCAGTACGTAGTTCTGGACTTGTAGGGGACCCTGAACTTCTTTCGGGATCAGTGTAATGTTTGTTTTTCGCCATGTCTCTGGTATCTGCTTTTTAAAAAAGTATCTCATTCAAAACTTTGTGGAGGGGGGTAGTAAAATTTCATCTGCTCGTGCTTTATAATAGATTGCAGTGAAGCCATCAGGTCCTGGTGCCTTGTCTAATCATGCCTACCCATGCTAATGTTTGTTTCATATTGACAGCCTGAAACAACTATCTTGCCTCGCTTTCAGAAATTTCCCTGTTCCAATGCAGTTATTTGTTACCACAGTCTTGATCATTTATTTTCTCTTGAACAATAATTACTTCTGTGTTTCTAATAAAAGGTAGAAGACAGCCAACCTTGAACTGCAACTACTTCGTAAATTGCTTTCTCCCTTTGTATGTATACGTGATTGCTTCTTTAATGTCTCCCCCCATTTGTTTCTTTAGCACAAGCCTGGGAAAACATGATGAGTGCCTCAAGCCAGAGCCCTAATCCTAACAATCCTGCTGAGTACTGTTCTACCATTCCTCCCTTGCAGCAAGCACAGGCCTCTGGAGCCCTGAACTCTCCACCTCCTACTGTTATGGTTCCTGTGGGAGTCTTAAAACACCCAGGGGCAGAAGGTAAAGAACTTTATTATAGCTTTGTTTAATTCTGTGATTCTTACTTTTCTGGATATTTATTTGTTTAAATATTTATATTCTGCCCTTCATCCCAATATCTTAAATGTGTTGTGATGGTGATGATGATTATTATTACTATTATTTTCAATTTAAAGCAGTGGTTCTCAACCTTCCTAATACCACGACCCCTTAATACAGTTCCTCATATTGTGGTGACCCCCAACCATAAAATTATTTTCATTGCTACTTCATAACTGTAATTTAGCTACTGTTGTGAATCATATTGTAAATATCTGATATGCAGGATGTATTTTCATTAATGGGACCAAATTTGGCATAAATACCCAATATGCTCAAATTTGAATACTGGTGGGGTTGGGGGGCATTGATTTTGTCATTTGGGAGTGGTAGTTGCTTGGATTTGTAGTTAACCCGAAATCAAAGAGCATTCTGACTCCACCAACGATGGAATTGAACCAAATTTGGCACACAGAACTCCCATGACCAACAGAAAATACTGGAAGGGTTTGGTGGACATTGACCTTGAGTTTTGGAGTTGTAGTTCACCTACACCCAGAGAGCACGGTGGACTCAAATAATGATGGATCTGGACCAAACTTGGCACCATACTCAATATGCCCAAATGTGAACACTGGTGGAGTTTGGGAAAAAAGACCTTGACATTTGGGAGTTGTAATTGCTGGGATTTATAGTTCACCTACAATCAAAGAGCATTCTGAACCCCACCAATGATAGAACCGGTCCAAACTTCCCAGACAGAAGCCCCATGACCAACAGAAAATACTGTGATTTCTGAGGGTCTTTGCTGACCCCTCTAACACCCACTGATGACCCCCCTCAGGGATCCCGACCCCCAGGTTGAGAAACGCTGATTTAAAGCAGACAATTTTTATAATATTGTTCTAGATAATTCTTGGACTTGGAAGCAAAAGATCTAATCATGAATTTCCTCAGCAAGTCAGTATGTCTGAATCATTTAACTTGCAAAATCTAAATAGTAGCTAACATCATGAACTGTGCGTGTTTGTGTGTGTGAGTAGGCAAGAGAGATAAAGGGTATTTCAGCATTGTAAAAGAGTTATCAAAATGCAGATAGCACTGTTTACTTGATCTGAGAGGTGTGACGTGCACACATGAGGAAGAACTGTTTGTGCAGTCTCTGCTTTGTCTGCTATTTCTACTACAGCAACAGTTCCTCTTGCAGAAGAGTCAAGTTACATTTTTTAAAAATGTTCTTATTATGGATTGCTTTTGTAGAAAAAGAAATTTCTTCTTCTTTAAATTGTGGCCTTGGAAGTATTCGTGGTTACTGCTGCTGATCTTTTTGTTAGCATTTCAATGTATTTCTGTATCATGTTTTGAAATATTAAAGGTGATTAATTACATCTTAATCTCGTATTTCATTTGTAAAGCTGTTCCCACTTTTCTCCCTAGTAGCTCAGCCTAGAGAACAAAGACGTGTTTGGTTTGCTGATGGGATCTTACCCAATGGGGAAGTTGCTGATGCAGCAAAATTGACAGTGTCTGGAACAACTACTACTGGAGCACTGGCAGTCTCACATGATCCCAGCAAGCCCATGAGCAACAATGCCTCGCCAGTAGAGGTGAGAAAAGGCTCCGATATATTTATGTAGAGCTTGTTAAATAACACTTGCACACAAACATAAATTCTTTAGGTAGGTTGGTGACACAATTAATGCTTGGTCATCTTTAATATTGGTTAGATCCAGACATAAGTTGCATTCAGCTCTCTGACTAGCATTCCTCTGTTCTCGAAAGAGACATAGATCCAGTGGAAGTGGGGAAGGCAGTGCCCCTTTCCGCCTGAAAATGTCTTCCAAAATGTTGCAGGGGAGGAATGGAACAACATAAGAAATAGCACCCACGATTATAGGGGATAACCCCCCCCCCCCCCCGTGCGCTTTTCACAGCCAATTGGCTAATCTTCTAGTGGACTCCATTGATGTTTACTATCTGTTTAGTAAAAGTAGGTACTTTTCATCAGGTTATGAAGTTTAACTTAACTGTATTTTTACTTGGGAGCCAGTGGAACAGATGTTCTGGTATCTTGTGTCTACAGAACATAACAGATATCATTTTTTTAAACGTCATGTTGTTTGTTGCCTTGCATAGGCTGAAAGCACACTGGCATTTTCAAGAAGTAAAACTCAGGTTGGAAGTCCAGTTGGCAGTGCAATGAATCTTATTCCAGAAGATGGGCTTCCTCCAATTCTCATTTCTACTGGAGTGAAAGGAGGTGAGACCAGTACTATCTGTAAATGCTACTAACCAGTTGTTAGAATATCCTACTTGGAAATACCAACTTTTCACTCTGTCAAGGCCTAACAGGGATTTCGATGGGGAAAGCCTGTCTTAATGAGATGTAACTATGTTATCTCTTACATAAGGAGGAATTTTGTGGACATTCTAAAGAGAAGATATTTTAATCTCATTGGGGTATTTCAAGTGAGACTTTCATTGACAGAAATTCCTGAGCTAAGTTTTTTTTTTCATTACTTCTTACAAAGAGAAAAATATTCAGGTATTTTTACTTACAGAAACTCTTGAAAACCTCTTCCACTTTAACATGTGCTGTTTTATTATCTTCAGTAGCACCATACACATTTAAATAGAAACGCTTAATTGTTCTGCCTGAAATTTCCATTTTTTAAAAAAAATCTGTCATAAAATTCATTAATACTAACTCAGTGAATAAATGTCAATGTAGTACCAAGCAGACTGAAAAGTTTTGAAGGAATATCATCAACATTGTTTACATGGGCTTTCCAAATTCTTTAGCAAGTTTTGGCACCAAAGAGTCTCAGATAAATTTAGTAGTTGTTGGGATAAGAGGAGAAGTCCTCTTATGAACTCAAACTAGTTCAACATCAGGAATTAGAGAGAGACAGACTAAATGCCTAGTTCTCACAATGGAGAGACTGGGGGCAATGCTTTTGAAGTTGAATGACCTGGAAATAGGACTGAATAGCAAAGAAGCCAAATGTCCTGAGACACAAAAATTATTCTGTGTTGAGAACAAGAGCATGATGTGAAAATCTCTAAAAGGCTTGCTCTAAAGGGAGGTTAATATTGTAAATGAGATGGAATATTAAGTAAATGCCACCTCTGAAGTTCACATGTATGGGGGTGGGATCTGAACTGACATCAAGTGGCATGAGGGACTCCGAGAAAAATAAGTCTAAGCCATTGAGGCTGGATGTGACTATGATAATGATATGCTGTTGATGAGGATGCTTCAAATAGCTTTTGTCCTCAAAAGAGAAATTACTGGTTTGACTTAAAATGCATCATTACTAACTTTCTAAAAGCCCATGTCATACAGAATCTCCTGTTCCATGTAACAGTTCCAACATACAATACTGAGAAATGGTAAGGGACTTGCTTGTTAAATAACTCGTCTAGGTTTTTGTTAGTTTGTTTCTTTTTGTTTTTTGGCCAAACAATCAGGCTCATTTGCAGGTTTAACTTTTGGTTTAATTTTTTGCAGATTGGATTAACATGTACTTTCTAGAAATCTCTAGGTCCTCCAGGGTGACTATATCATCAACATCTGCTAGAAGTTGATTTTCAGGTTACACTGGAGGACCTAGAGATTTCTAGAGAGAATCCATCTCTAAGAACTTTTAAATTTTCCAGTGCCTATCCATGATCCACTTCTGGGAAAGATTCAGCATAGAGTCACCTAGAGCAGTGGTTCCCAACTTTTTTGGCCATGAACCACTTGACCAGGGACTGCTTTGATCAGGGATCACTCTCCAATATTAGTACCAAAAGGGTTACAAATACGTTTTTGGTCAACTTTAGATTTGTTTTTGTTATTTGGGCTGCTAATCCAGAAAATTGCATTGGATAGACCACATCAGCTTTAGTTTCTGATACAGAACATATGCCACCCAGTAGTCACCATCTGCTTGTGCTCAGAAAACCATATTTAATAATCTAGAGCTGATGTGGTAGTAATAATCTTTCGTGGGTAGTCAGCTCCCTCCCAACATCCCCATTGCATTAGCACTATAAGAGCATTTTGAGAGACCAGCCGTTCTCATTGCCACATGGTTTCGAGGCAATGGTGTAGTAATGGTGAGGCTGCGGACAATATTTTCGTTCTTGTGGACCACTGGTGGTCCATGAACCACAGGTTGGGAACCACTGGCCAAGAGATTTCTAGAAATGTGTAGTCATGTTTTCTCAAGTTAAAATTTTAAAAAGTAATCGTTTTTCCACTTTTGCAGGAGTCTTCCAACTCTAACCCTTATAAAAGTGGAGGCCTACTGTATTTCACTTTTTGAAATCAAGGAATGAAGTTTAGAAAAGCAAACCAAAGGTTCTGCTTCTTTCAAAATTTCCCAGTTGTAGTTGTGATTAAGACTGATAACATGTATTTAAAAAAATGACCCAAGCTTCGTTCCAAAAGACGGTCAGTCTTTTGACTAAATTACCAGTCCGCATAGTGCTTAAATATCCGTTGTATCCTATTACAAAATTGAATGGAATATTTCACAGTAACTATTTGAGAGCTATTCTTTGTTTCCCCTTTTAGATTATGCCGTAGAAGAAAAACCATCTCATATATCCGTGATGCAGCAGCTAGAAGATGGTGGTCCTGACCCTCTTGTGTTTGTTTTAAATGCAAATTTGCTATCCATGGTTAAAATTGTAAATTGTAAGTCATGTTTTTGGGAGTGGGAAAATGGTAATCCTGTTATGCCTTTAATACATTTTGATTTTTTTTTTTAGTTTCTCAGTAGAGAATCTTTCTCCTCCAGCGTTTGTTCTGTATTTTGAAAGTGATTTGAATAGTACTTTAGTCTCAAAATGCACCTTTACAAATTAAATAGGTCTGTAAGTCTTACTACTTTACAAAAGCATTGCAAAGGGATACTGGAGTGAAATGTTCATTTCATGTTGTGAATGATGGGTTTATATAATCATGCTTCCTGCTGTCAATTAAGAGTGCAAATAGATGTGTTGCACAAGACCCAGGAGTGCTGATTTCATGTGGTTTTCAAGCAATAGCAGCTTCAGGGGTGTGGGATTGCAAAGCATGCTGGTCATATTTGGGGAGTTTATCCTAGCGCAGTTGGCAATATCTCTTTGTAAGGGATAATTACATGAAAGGAAATGTGAAATACCTGCCCACTCAGTACTGGTCCTATTTCATGCACACCCTATGGTGACTGTTTTTATTTTTAAAATATGTAATTTTATATGTAATTTGTAAAAACATAGTTTTTATAATTTTTATTATTCATTGCTTTTATGTTTTTTAAATGTATTGTGATTTTTTGCTTTTTATTGATGTATATATTTTTATGTATTGCATCTAATTGTTGCTGACTTGTATGCCACCCTGAGTCGCCTTCGGGCAGATATGGGCGGGATACAAATGTTGTAAATAAATAAATAAATAAATTTCCTAACCAGAGATTTCTATATCATTTCTGGTTTGACCTTGGCAGAAAAAGTAACCACCTTTAATCATTTTTCTATTCTACAGATGTAAACAGAAAATGCTGGTGCTTTACTACAAAGGGAATGCATGCTGTAGGCCAATCAGAAATAGTAATTCTTCTACAGTGTTTACCTGATGAAAAGAGTTTGCCCAAGGATATTTTCAATCACTTTGTGCAGCTTTATCGTGATGCCTTGGCAGGTGAGAGAATGGCTTGTTTGACAAATTTGTAAGTAACTAGAATTATTCAGTCACCAGAAATGTGTAGCAGTAACTTGTAGATTGTTTTATCCTTTTCTGTACTGAGTTCATATCTGAAGACTCAGGTTTAATTTCAAAGTGATCTGCACCCAAGAAAATGTAATAGCAGATATTCCAGGTGTATTCAATATTTGTATTATTATTGTTGTTGGTTGTATCGTGATTTTTTTCTCAAAAGAGGCACAAAGCTGCTTAGAGTAAAACCAGTACAATACAATTTAAAACTTAAAAATATATAAACATTAAAATGGAATGGAATAGTAACAGTATTTAAAAAATTCACACTGTAATAGTTATGCAATGCAGTCTTGCTTTTGAGGCAGTGTCAGAACTTCCAAGTTCTAGACAAGAGTTGTTTCCCCCAGTGTCTTGATACCTTCGGAGTAGAGATGAGGTCGTGAATGGCCTCAATGCTTATTTTCTCCCTCTCTCTATGTAAGAGAGTTTACGGGATGGACAAACCAGCATCAGAAGCTGAAGAAACTCCAGCCAGTGATTTGGCTGGAGACCAGATGATGTTGAGGGCATGGAGATGCTCTCTGACATCATCAAGCCTGTGGAGTGGTGGCAGTGAGACCACAGGTTACTCCCTATCTTGCAAAAAGATAATCAGTAAAATAGCTAAAAATATACTCTTCTAAGTAACATATAGGTTGGAATCCTAAAATACTTCCTGAAAGTAGGTAAGGGGTTATAGATGGAGAAGGTGTGTGGGCGCCGTGGTGTTCCCATAACATGGCCCAAAACAGGCACCCCATGGGAATTCCAAGGGGATGTCTGGGAAGGACTTGGATATGAAAGATATGAAAGATGCATATACTCAGTCTACAGTAGCCCTGAAACTCACCTTTAATTGCTCTTCTAGTGCAGCCAGTGTTCTAGTACGTAATGTTATTTTATTTTTTTTAAAAAAACACTTTTGAGGCTGGCTGGGCTGCGAGTGTGGAAGATACATACTCTGCTGTGGATTTGCCCTCTCCCCACCCCATATTGCATAGGTTTGCCCTGCCCACTAAGCAAAGCACTTTCTTATTATCTTCAGATTACTTCCTGAACGTTGGCACAGTCTACCACAGTTTTATGCAGTTTCACTGTATAGTTATATACTTTACAGCTCCTGTATAACACAGTCAATCAAAAAAGTTATTTATATTGTGGTTTTTATGCCTGTTCTTGGGGTTGTTTGGGGCGCTAATTCAGAAAATTACTTTGGATAGACCATATCAGCTCTAGTTTTTTTATTATGTTATTATTATTATTATTTTTAATAATAATAATAATGATAATAATCTTTATTTATACCCCGCTCCATTTCCCCCAGGGGGACTCAGTGTGGCTTACATGAGGCCAAGCCCATCAGTGCAGTACCTACATTGTAATACAGAAACAGAACAGTATCAGAACATAAATATATCAAATGCAAAGAAATATACTAAATGACACAAACTATATAAAACATGCATTTCACTGGGCAGGGCCACATTCAAGGCTAATTCTTTTAAAAAACGATTATGATTTTTTAAAAAAATATGATTTTCTGTGAAAAAGTAGGTGGTAACTGGTAGATGGCATATATTCTGTATCTCAAAAATTAAAGCTGATAGGGGGAAACTAGTGTCATTTTCCACTTTAGTAGGTCAAATATAGCCAGAAGCAGGCTGACATTTGAGGTACCAAAATGTGTTGGCCAGATTTTTTTTTTCTTATTCTGTTTTTGGGATTGTTTGATACATTGTCCTGCAGAAACTTAAGGAAAGCAAGGTGTTGGGACTTTACAGTTTGGATTCTAGTTAATCAAAAGCCAGCATTAAGCATTCATTTTTTTATGATAGGGTATAGTTTGTTTCTGAAGTCCAGAAATGTAAGGCAAACAAATTAGATCATGTGTATCTGTACAAAAAAACAATAATAATTCTTGTTCTGTGAGCAGATGATCATCATGAGTCATAGCACTCTCAGTCAATTCCTTCAGTGGCCTACAATGCATTCTTAGTATGGGAGTTCTGTTCTGGTTTTGGAAGCACTTGAGAGAGGGATAGAGAATACACTGTACTAAATTAACACAGCAAGAGGTTATCACAGACGGCTGGTTTTGAAGTCATTTACTATAGACAACAGTGATTGAGGTGACAAGGATAACCATTTTTTAGAAAGAGCAATGTGACTCTGTCATAAGAGAGATGCACAATTTATAATTTCTATACAATCAAGAGAGGATTGGGATAGGCTTTCCACCATAGCAGGGGTTCTCAAACTTTTAAAGCTGCTTAGCCCTATTTGAAGGAAAGGTTTCTTGAGGAGCCCCAACAAACTTTTGGACACAGAGGCCACATTGGATTTTAAAATTTGTCAGGTAGGCTGAGTCAGTGGCAGATAGATGAGGAAAGCTTGTGTGAACTAATTGAAAAAAATGAGCAAATTAATATGCACACGGCACATTTTTTGTTTGTAGTGCAAAAAAGTAAAGAAAGAACGATAGAAGGACTCTAAGATCGTCTGGGGAGGCCCTGCTCTCGGTGCCGCCTTCGTTTTGCGGGGACGGGGGACAGGGCCTTCTCAGTGGTGGCCCCTCAGCTATGGAACACCCTCCCTAGGGAGATTAGATCTGCTCCCTCCCTCTTAACGTTTTGGAGGCAAGTTAAAATGTTCGAGCAAGCGTTTACAAATGCAGAGTAGCTAATATAGGAAATCGAACGATTTGACAATGGAACTGGACAATTCTTGATAATAATGAGACGCTAATGATGTTGTTTTTATTGCTTTTGTGGTGTTTTATATTGTTTAATGTTTTAATCTGTATTATGTTTTTATATGTACTGATTTGTTGGAAAACGCCTTGAGTTGCCAATTGGCTGAGAAAGGCGGTATACAAATACAGTAAATAAATAAATAAAAATAATGTTTAAAATGAGGAACATTTTAAATTTTTAACAGTATTTCATTGGAAGTCCCCTGGGGCCATCCAGTCCAACCCCCTTCTGACATGAAGGAAAAGCACAATCAAAGCACTCCCAACAGATGGCCACCCAGCCCTTGTAACAACAGCAACAACAATAATAATAACACCAACCCGGGGGCCCATACAGTTCTACCCCATTCTGCCATGCAGGAAAACCACAAAGCACTCCCAACAGATGGCCACTCAGTGTTTGTAATAATGATAACAACAACAATACAAACAACCCCAGTAGCCACCCAGTCCTACCCCATTCCTTCATGCATGGGAGGCCTTGAAGGATGTGGCGGCGATGGCGTTTGTCAGACCATGCATGCAGAGGCTTTGGAAGCTGCATGGCCACAGTGGGACTCGCCATACCACATGGGGGCAGCGGGTCTTGCTAGGCCATGCATGGAGCTCCAGAGACCTCATTGCGGTAGCGGGACTCACCACAGTGCTTGGTGGCAATGGGGCTTGTATGGCTGCACACACAGCAGGGCCCTGGAGGCTGCAGAGCAGCAGTGGGGTTCCCGCTGTTAGGCCCAGCTTCTGACAACCTAGCAGTTTGAAAACATGCAAATGTGAGTAGATCAATAGGTACTGCCTTGGCGGGAAGATAACAGCGCTCCATGCAGTCATGTCAAACACGTGACCTAGGAGGTGTCTATGGACAACGCCGGCTCTTTGGCCTAGAATTGGAGATGAGCACCGGAGTCGGATGCGACCCAGAGTTGGACACAACTAGACGTAATGTCAGGGGAAACCTTTACCTTACGTCTAGAAATTCTAGTCATAAGAATTTCTTGGAACCCTCACTTCTCATGTGATAGTTTACATTAGGTCTAAAGAAGACACCTTATGGAGGGTTATACGCAAACTTTATGGCATCTTAATCCTTGCAATATGCTGTACCAGACAAAATATTCTGATGAAATCATATCATTTTTCCCTATATTGAATACAAAATATAGTGTATGTCAAACTTACAGTAAGGCGCTGAATATCATTTAAGGGTGTTCAGAGCTAAGGGTGTGTGTATATGTCCTATCTGTTAAAATGTTTTGTATCATTCTAGAGATCTACAAAACTTGTTTGACTAGAGGTGACACTTAGGCAGAAAGAATGCCTGTGTATCTTGAGAAATGATTTCTGACTCTTAACAAAATATACTCTCCATGTCTAGCTGAAGTCCAACCCTCAGCGCATGACTGAGACTCCAAAGTGCTTATTTTTCTACTTGCTAGACCTTCTAATGAGCTTCTATCTGAATGCACTATTGGAAATTATCATTTGATTTTCCCTGAAAACAACATTGTTCATTCAGTTTCAAAATCCTAAAATGGGCACTTAAAACAGGGAAGCCTGGCAAGATGTATCACAACACACAATCGCACTAAAACCCTTTTATTTATTTATTTTCTCCTTCAATTTCAGTGTTTTAAATTATTCCAAGCCTTTTTTTTCTGTTTCAGCTCTCATTCTGACCTGATTGAAATATATAAAAATGAACTTACTACACCATTCCTGGGTCAATATTGGGATGTCACATTTTAGAATACATTTGAACATTTTAAAAAAACCTACATGTGGGACTTGGCAGAAAACCCGGATTATGAAATACTCAAGTTGTATCGTGAAGCAGTAGCACTATACTGTGTTCTTGTATGGATGTTTGAATTAGTACTTTGAGACAAAACTTGGTGAAGGTTTTAAGAAAATACTAAAACATACCAGCTTGTTTGTTGTTGTGTGCTTTCAACTCATTTCCAACATAATGGCAACCCTAAAGTGAACCGATCATGTGATTATTATTATTATTATTTGGCAAGGTTTGTTCAGAGAGGGTTTCTCCTTTCTTCTTCTTCTGAGGAGGAAGTGTGACTTGGCCAGGGTCTCTATGTCAGAGTGAGGATTCATTTACTAGAAAGAAACAATTCCTTTGAAAACACTATATTAAAATTGATTTAATTTAAGAGCTTTATATGTGACATACCATATTTTGAAGTGCACAATGACCAAAGAACTGCCACTTGAGAATGCCAGTGGATGAATGTGCATATTTTTAGATACATTGTTCATAACTGTTTACATTTTTACTGAGCTACAAAGCTATATAGAGTCAAAAAAGGTACTGTATATACTCGAATATAAGCCAAGTTTTTCAGGACATTTTTTGGCTGAAAAAGCCCCCTTGGCTTATATTCGAGTATATACGGTAATTTTATTGGTATCTATTTTTATTTTATTATTGAACTTTACCAATAGCTGCTGCATTTCCCGCCCTTGGCTTATACTCAATTCAAAAAGTTTTTCCAGTTGTTTTGTGGTAAGATTAGGTGCCTCAGCTTATATTTGGGTTGGCTTATACTTAAGTATATACAGTAAATGCTTTATTTTTAGTACTAAAGCACTTGTGGTACTGTACTTTTATTCAAATACTCTTAGTTCTGTTGTAAGACTTTGCTATATATGTCAGATTACTGTAGTAAATAGGACCTCTCTATATATATAAGGTTTGTATGATCAGTAATGTTTTCTGTGTGTCTTTTATTTACTTAGGCAATTAAATAGGCAACTCGTGCCTGTTAACGTTATTTTCATTTTTCTAGGTAACGTTGTGGGCAATTTAGGACACTCGTTTTTCAGCCAGAGTTTTCTCAATAGCAAAGAACATGGTGGCTTCTTGTATGTTACTCCTGTGTATCAGTCACTACAGGACTTGGTGCTCCCTACTCCACCATACTTATTTGGGATTCTTATCCAGAAATGGGAGACTCCTTGGGCCAAAGTATTTCCAATCCGACTGATGCTGAGACTTGGAGCAGAATACAGGTGTAAGTCCTTTTTCTAATAATATTAGACCTTGACATTGTTGTTATGGAATAACTCTTACAGAAAGGCTAAAAAACCACAATTTCTTGTAACAACATTGGATTGAATTCTTGACTTCTTGCTCCATGAAAAGGAAAGGAAGTTCTGTTCACAGAATGGATCCTTGTGTAACTATAGGTCTTTCAGTGAAACTTTCTTTTGTTCGCAAAAGAAGGTTAGGGATCAAAGCATTATATTATATAAGACTATATATGTCTGAATTTGCTTTTTGTGTATGCTCTTTGTATGTGTATAAAGCAAACAACTGCCAGATTCATTCTAGGAATTAACCACATTCATTCCCGATGTTTGCTTCTTGACAAACATATTGTTGAACCAATTGCTTGGTGTACTTACAACTTGCAGATCCATTCTACACATTTTTTCTTTTATCCAAAAAAATTGGAAGTAGCTGAAGGCTGGGCTTTAGTACAGTTGGTTAATCACCAGCAGCAATACATTTTATCATTAGAAAGTTTGAAACCCAGGTAAGGGGAGCACTTGACCTTCAGCCCAGCTTACTATTCACTAAAGCAGTTTGAAAACAGCTGTGAGCTTTGCGTAGAGAAATTAGGCACCGCTTAAGCAGGGAGGTATTTTACGGCACCAAAAAGGAAATACCAGAAAGGGCTTTTCGTCATAGAGGATGGAGCGACAGCACCCCCCTGTGGTCAGAATAGAGCACAACCTCCAGGATGCTGAAGTTGGGAAATATACCAACATAATAGCTCTATCTGTTGTCTGTCCTGTCTAACGGCATTGAATGATTGACGTGAATATGTTCTGTGATCCGTCATGAGTCCCCTTCGGGGTGAGCAGAATTTGAATGCTGTAAATAAATAAATAAATAACCCAATATTTTAAATTAAAACTGTATAGAAAATCTAGTATTAAAGCCCAATTTCCAGGGTCTTTGTTACTGTTTGAAGATACAGCTGCCCATGTGCTGTTAAGTTTGGGCTTAGATGAGACAATACAAAATGGGATTTGGAAACCTGGTGGGCTTATCTATCAGAATATATAATTAATGATTTTATCAATGAAAGCAAAAACAAGTATATAAATAGTCAAAGAGAACAAGACTGGTTTAGGAAATGGTCTGTGTTAATTGACAAAATAGACGGAGACGACAAATACAGTATTTTGAACCAGGCTTAAATTGATGCAATGACATGATTTAGAATTGCTGTTCCAGGGGGGTGGGGGGAATGGGGGGAGGAGGGGTTTGTTGGGCGATAAAAAAAAAGTTTGGGGTTAGATTGCAGTCCCATCTATGATTTCCCATTTTTGTTGTTGTGACAAACAAACAATATGGAAGGTCTTGCATGTTTTGAATTGTGTTATAAACACAATTCTGTGCTCATAACAAAAAGCTGGAGAAACATCTCATTCTATCCCTGACATGGTCCTAAACTGACTTGGGTACAACGGGTGTGAAAATACACTTTTGATGTAAATATCTGGTTATTATGTTTTTAAATCTAGATTTTAAGTGCAGTCCAGTTTGAGTAAATGTCTCGTAAGATAAAGTTGAAGATGACTTCTTGTATCCATTTTTATTTTCCCAGTGTATCCTTGCCCACTTTTCAGTGTCAGATTTCGTAAGCCATTGTTTGGAGAGACTGGACACACCATTATGAATCTTCTTGCAGTAAGTCTTGCTGTAATCGTGAAATACAAAAAAAAAAAATGTGTCCCTCATTGAAGTGTATGGTCCTTATGAAAATACGATGCCACCTTCATTTAGAATCAGCATGCTCAAATTAAATAAACAAATACCATATTTAAATCTGGAGCAAACTTTGGTGACCTTTGACAACTCTAAAAACGTGGATTTTCAAATAGTGTGAAATGCTTGCCTACCCAGACTTCTTAAATAATTAAAAATACTTTCTGCTTTTGTCCTTGTTAGGATCCTGGTTTACAGTGACATAAAAATCTTTGTGAACCCTAATGATAATTACATAAATTCCATTGGTTTGATGTGGTAACCTTTGTGAATTCCTTTCTTAAATATTCAGTAGGTTTTACATTAATTGATTCCATGTCCATGAAATAAAACTATTAATCAGGCAAACACTGAGGAGTACATGAGAGCCAGGGTAATTGCAGAAGTTAGTGAAACCCTCATTTTATCAGCAAAATTAGAGGGAATAATTAGAATCAAGCACTTATATAATTAAATAGGTCTGCAGTGATGGGTTTGATATGCTGCATTCTATAAAAAGACCTTTAGCTTCCTAAGTTTAGTCTTCAACATATGCTTGTGTGGAAACAAGTCATGCTATGATCAGATGAATTTCCAAGGATCTCAGGGGGAAAAAAGTTGATGTTGTTCTATCCAGAAAGCATTGTAAAACAAATGATAAGGAATTACGACTCCACCAGTGAGGCAAATAATCTACACATGGAGACTATTCATGATCACAGTTAGTCTGTCCAGGAGTTGCTATCCTCCCAAAATCTGTTTATGAACAAGCCAGTGTGTTATCCAGGAAGTCATTAAAAACTCCATAAGAATATTACGCTTCCTACAGTGGCTAATGTAAGTTTTCATCACTCAACAATTAGAAAGATCAAAAATGACAATGATGGGAGGAGAAGTGGGAGTAAACCACTATTCTCTGAAAAGAATCACTGCTTTCCAGGTCTTCTGGCTCAGTGTTCTCCAGACAAAGTAATCAGAAGGAGAAATATTGAGAAATGCTGTCTGGAGAAAACAAACACAAGTTCAAATAAAATAATCCTGGCTGTCAAACAGGGTGATGAGAAGGTCATGATTTGGGCCTGTTTTGCTACCTGAGGACCCAGACAGCTTGCTGTTGTTGACAGAAATGTGAACTATGCAAAGTAAGATCATTTTCTTGAGGAGAATGCCAGGTCAGCCATCTGAGAGCCTAAGCAGGGGTGGGTTATACTACAGAGTAATAGTCTTCAGCATACAAATAGAGCCACCAAACAATGACTGCAGAAGCCATTTCATGTTTTAGCATGGTTTAGTCACAAGTCCTGATCTAAACCCTTTAGATCTTAAGGAAGGATCTGAAGTGAGCTGTTCAAGCAAGGAAGCCCTTGAATAGTACTGAGCTGAAGCAGTTCTGTAAGCATAAATGGGCTAAAATTCCTCAGAACAAATGTAAAAGAACAGTTTCAGGAAATGTTCTTGAAGTCACTACTGCTCAGGGAAATACCATCAGCTACTGAATCTAAAGATTTGCATACTTGTTGCTGTGGTTATTAACAGTTATGACAACATATGGTAACAGTGCTCCATGAAGTCATGCTGGCCATGTGACCTTGGAGGTATCTACGGACAACGCTGGTTCTTTGGCTTAGAAATGGAGATGAGCACTAACCCCCAGAATCGGACACGACTGGACTTAATGTCAGTGGAAAACCTTTACCTTTACCTAGGATTAATAAGATGCAATAATGCAACCGCTGAGCTATTGAACTTGCTGCCAATCCAGGGAGCGGAGTTAGCTCCCACTGTTAGGCCCGGCTTCTGCCAACTTAGCAGTTTGGAAACATGCAAATATGAGTAGATCAATAGGTACTGCTTCTGTTGGAAGGTAACGGCACTCCATGCAGTCATGCTGGCCACATGACTTAGGAGCTGTCTATGGACAACACCAGCTCTTCAGCTTAGAGATGGAGGTGAGCACTACCCCCCAGAGTCTGATTCGGCTAGACTTAATGTCAAGGGGAAACCTTTACCTTTACCTTTAATGTTTGGAAAGTTGGAAAAAAGTGGCAATCTTAAGAGGCGTTCATGAACTTTTTCTTGCCATTGTAGTGCTCAGTGGTCCTTTTGACATCTGTAAGAAAGGGTGTTGTTGCCCTTTGATCACAACAATGCCTTGTGGGCTAGGCCTCTCAATATGTGAGCAGTTAACAAAGGTCAATTAAATTTGTGATGTGTACTTTGACTTCAGGAAAGATGCTTAACAGTAGTGGTGTTGGTGTTGGAGTGGGTAGACAATCCCACTCCAACACCAGTCATATAGATTTGCTCCTTCTTGCCCGTGGGTAACTTCTCTTTGACAACTGGATAAAAAATATTTGGTTTTTTCTTTTGTAACTGTGGGTAATTTGTAATCCTGTATTGATAGGTATTGCTCAAGAATATTTTGTCTTTGACTCCTCCTGCCCCCCTTTATCTCTGCCCCCTCCCCAGAGATATCTCATCTTTCTCAGAACCCTCTAGAAGCAACAATTCTTTTATATATTTATCTTACATGTAATATTACTAATAATATTACAATATAATTGGTATAGTACAATATAGCAATATTTATAACTGATATTGTACTATGCTAATAATATAATATATTGTATGTATATATACCTTGTAAGCCGCTCTGAGTCCCCTTCGGGGTGAGAAGGGCGGCAAATAAATGTCGTAAATAAATAAATAAATAAATAAATAAATAAATTCACTGTTTAAATAGTGTTCGTGGTTAAGCTGCACTGTTTAATTTTAAAAGTATGCGTCATTTTAAAACTTTTACATTTTTTGGCATTCTGTATGATCTACCAAATTTTGCTAAATAGTTGTTTAGTCTTAGCAGAACAATACTAACATAGTATTCTTTTCTCGCAACAGAACTAAATTTAAAGTTTGTAATATCATTTTTCTATACCAATACTGTTCATTGTGCTAGTAAAGCTCAAACTCTTGTTAGTAAGTGTTGTAATTTTAGTTGGTCTGTATATTGACAGGACTTCAGAAATTACCAGTATACATTGCCGGTTGTCCAAGGCTTAGTGGTTGATATGGAAGTAAGGAAAACCAGTATCAAAATTCCCAGCAACAGATATAATGAGGTATGTAGTATGAATAAATCCATGACAATCAAGTTGCAAAAACAACCCACTGAATATTGTTTGAAAAGAATTGCAGTTAGACATGAAATACATTTGTATGTTTGTGTGCCTTCAAGTTGCTAGGATTTTCTTATGCAAGGAATACTCAGAGGTGGTTTTGCCAGGTCCTCCTTCTGCAATACAGTCTACAGAACCGAGTATTCATTGGCAGCTCCTCATCCAAGTACTAATCAGGACTGATCCTGCTTAGCTTCCAAGACCTGGTGCCTTAAGGGTTTGATATTGTGCCTGAAATTGCTGTTGAGTAAAGCCTTGTGCCTTGCCCCACATCTGGGAAACTTTAGTAAAGAGGACTTGACACTCCTTATAATTGTGCTGGTCATCTTTAAATTATATTTTCAGCTATGCAGTTACTTATTTTTGAAAAGTGTATTCTTAAAGTGAAATGGGTGGGGGGGAATTTTACAAATAGCCTGAATGTAATCTAGCTAACGTTTTGTAGGTAGCTTAGATACAAAGGTAGCTACGTAAATATATATAATAGTTTCACATAGGCCCCTAAAGCTGGGATGAGCGAACTGCCATCTGTGGGATGTATGTGCTTTCCTGAGCTATAGTTGAAGCCTGCAAAGATTCTCACACTTCCCTCTGCCGAAATGACTGAAACAACCCGCAAGCCTCTAGGAAGCGCTGCCGGCTGTTTCATCACATTTTTGAGTGTTTTGGTGTCTCCGCTCCCCATTTTTAGGCTGGCAGAATCCTTTTTTCAGCCTATATAGACCTTTCTTTTTCAAATAGGAAGTGACCAGAGGAGAACCTCTGATCACGTCCTGGCTGAGAAGAAGATCTTAAAGAAGGTGAAGTATGCAACGAATTGTTGAAATAAGGTGGCAAAATGGCTAATAGGCAAGTCATGAAGGGTGTGGGCATGAGAGTGAGAGTGCAAGGGTTAGAGGGATACTCATTCTAAGTTCCCATGGAGAACCTTGGCAGTTGCTTAGTTGTATCTAAAGAGACTACATGTTCCTCCAGGAATTATTTTTCCACCTGCCAGGAACATTTCAATGTCATGTCGCTGTTTAATACTATATGATAATTCTCTATGTTCTGTTTTTGGTTCGGCTGCAGATGATGAAAGCCATGAACAAGTCCAATGAGCATGTTCTGGCAGGTGGGGCATGTTTCAATGAGAGGGCAGACTCTCATCTTGTATGTGTGCAGAATGACGATGGGAATTACCAGACACAGGCCATCAGCATTCACAATCAACCAAGAAAAGGTGAGACTTCCTGCCAATGGCTAAATCATTTGTTGTCTCAGTGCAGCATAAATATCCTCAGGTCAAATTACACTGTGTTAGCAATGCCGTCCATACCAGTACACTGAATTCCACTGTTGTACTACTTATGAGAAATGGTGAGTGTGCACAGAAGCACTCTACACATTGCTACACTGTTCTAGATACACCTCTAGATGCGGAACTCCCATGTCTTCTACCATCAATGTTTGTTCTCTGTTGTTATTAACAGGGATTCTGGCCAGTTAATTTTTTTTCTGTACTTTGTGCATTTCTTGTCATCTCTAATTTTCTAAGTGCATGAGAAATAGGTCTCAACTTTTGAGTGAGTGTCAGACATTGATAAAAATAGAATCTTGAAAGCACTTTTCTGATTTTGTGTAAACATGATACATCTACTGGCTGCAGGTGCTTTTTACTCCTGTTTATCTTCATTTTAATGACAATTTTTCATGTTTGTGTGATAGAATATCCCTGTTTAGATGATGTAATGCCCAAAAATGCCCAGTTAGCCTTGTTGGGAATGATACTTACAGTCCAAGAACCTGATTTTGGGTGAGCAATCACATGAAATATTTAGAATTTCTTTCTAAAAATAAGCCATTGGCTGTAAGCCAATCTTTCACCAGCTCTGTCATGATGCTGGAGCGAGATAGTAATGACTTTTCAACCTGTTAAGTTACACCCTTATCACCCCTTGCATTTCATTTTGCCTTTTACATAGCTTGTACTTCCTGCTTTCTCCTTTCCATTCTACAATAATAAAATTACCAGAAGGAATTTTTTAAAAGAGATACATGCTTAGGGCTTTGCTCAATCTAAAGGCAGCTCAACTTGTAAGACTGTGTTACTAGTAATTGGATTTCCTTTGAATACTTCAACTTGTTATGTTATTTTACTTGGCTTAGAATATAATTGTTTAAAGGGAGGGAAAGTATGCACCCAGGGATGTAATTATAGCTCTTAATTTTAGTGGATTCAGTAAAAAAATAAAAAGGTGATTTTATACTCCTGGAGGCCTCCAAGTGTGGCATTTTGACATTTTCAGTAGGAATGTGTATGTGTATCTGTGTGTTTGTGTGCATATATGTGTATGTGTATATATATGTGTATGTATGTGTACAGGCAGTCCCCAAGTTACAAACATCGACTTACAACGGGGGGTGAGACAACAGTTGAGAGAGAAACACCTCTAGGAAGGGAAATTCACTTCTCTCAGAGTTATCATGAGGAAAAGCTATCTCCACTGAAGCTTTATCACCAATCCTTGTTTCCACAACAAGCCAAAATTTTCAAAATCCAGTTACTTCAGGTCAAGGGTGGGGAGTTGCAGGGGCCCTGGACCTATTTTGGTCCAAGGGCACTCCAAGGTCCACAAAAAACCTGCCAGAAATGAATAAGCAAACCAGTACCTCTTATTAGTGGCTGCATTTTTTCCTGTTGTTAATCATAGTATTTGATACTCCGTGTATTTTTGGAATATTTTGCATATATACATTATGAATTTGTGGGATTTCATTTTAATTGTTTCAGTGACTGGAGCCAGCTTTTTTGTATTTAGTGGAGCTTTGAAATCATCTTCAGGCTATTTGGCAAAGTCCAGTATTGTAGAAGGTAAGTTTGTAGTCACCCTTCATCGACTACATGTTTATTTACAGCAGTGGAACATAGCTTGGGTGGTGGTTGGAACTTACATTGCTTAAAAATATTGCATTGCTATTTTCAAATGAAATACTTGTTCGACTAAATAACAATGTCACAGAGCCCAAGTGACAACAGCAAATAAACAGAAAGCGGGATGTATGCAATAACACATCAGAACTAGCCTTGAGGCTGATTGTATCTGCCAGTAATGGAAAATTACTGCACTAAGACAATGGAGAAAACTTCTCAATGCCATTCTAGAGGGTGTTTGAGGGCAGGTGGTGCAGTACAGGTGGTGCAGTACAGGGTCTGCCTTTCAGTGTCTTCTTGGGTGCTGATGTTGCTTCATAAGCTTTCATGATTGCCCACTCTAATATTTTGATAAATGTTTTTAATGTTTATGCATACTTATATGAATTCTTGTCCCAGCATTGAATGTTTGCCGTATATATGTTGTGCTCCGTCCTGAGTCCCCTTCGGGGTGAGAAGGGCGGAACATAAATGGTTTAAATAAATAAATAAATAAACAAACGCACATAAGCCCCAAAGAAAATACAAGACTCAGAGCTTAATATGCCATATCAAAACCTTAGTTTAGAACTTAGCTGTTTGCAGCATTAATCTGGGCTAACACACGTTATCCTACATTTGGTATTTAAGAACACAACTTTGGGTTGTTTTCACCAGCGGTGTCTTGTCTTTCCTAGATGGTGTCATGGTCCAAATAACAGCTGAAAATATGGACTCCCTGAGGCAGGCTTTGAGGGAAATGAAAGACTTCACTATTTCTTGTGGAAAAATAGATGCTGAAGAGCCTCAAGAGCATGTGTACATTCAGTGGGTGGATGATGACAAAAACTTCAACAAGGGGTAATACTTTAGTATGCAGCTGTCGTTTTTTACACAAATTTATGTAGTTTCAGTTTCACAGCTTACAGTGCATTCTGTTTGGAAAGGGGGAAAGAGGAGGTTCCTCTGGCCATGTGTTGATTGCATCTTAATATTTGAAGTCCTGATGGACAGTGTTTGTGGACTAGGATCTTTAACCAAATTGTTAAAGATCCTATGTGTTTTATCTTTAAGTCAGATGCTTTACGTACCCTGGGCAACACACACATTTTGGTGCCTCAAATACAGTATTAGAGCTCTTTCTGGGTATAATTGACCTGCTGATTCCAAAAAAATGGCATGAGTCAGCTCTAGTTTTTGAGATAGCAAAACATATGCCATATACCACTCTTCATTCACTCTGCTTGCCCATAAAAATATCAGGATATTTTAACATTGCGTTTAAATTAATAGATTTTAAGTGTGAAGGAAACATTAAGAGAAAAGAGTACCACATGAAAATCTGCTTATTTCATACCAAAAACACAAATTTATGATACAAACTTTCCAGTCATCTGACACACATATCTAAGAAACTAGAGCTGATTTGTTCTATATAATGCGATTTTCTGAATCGCCGCCCAAATAACTTCAGGAACTGGCCTGAAAACCTAGACACTAAGAAATATTTTTTGGGGTGCGGCTGTGTTATTTATTACTTTTAATGAGTATCCTCTTTTGTAAAAAGAGGATCAATAGGTACCACTCTGGCAGGAAAGTAACGGCACTCCATGCAGTCATGCCGGCCACATGATCTTGAAGGTGTCTGTGGACAATGCCAGCTCTTCGGCTTAGAAATGGAGATGAGCACCAACCCTCAGAGTCTGACGTGGCTGAACTTAATGTCAGGGGAAAATCTTTACTTTAACTATTCTCTTTTTTCCAGCTACAAAGAACTAGCTTAATATGTTGAAAGTTGATATAAAAACCAAGGTACTTGACAACGTAATTGCATACGGTTCCTTCACATGATTTTAACACAGGAAACGTTTGTTGTATGAAATTGTATATCCACCATCCTTGTGAGATGCATACCAATATACTATGTATAAATGCTGTGAGAAAATCCATAAAATAATGGCAGTCCCATTCAAATACACTGTCTCAAATAACTAATATTGGAAGAGGATGAAAACATTTTGCTGACATGGCCACTTAATATATATTTGTCTGGCGCTTTCAGATAAACTTTAATCTCTATTATCCACAATGTCGCCTTTAAAACTTACTACAGTGATGATGAGAAAAAGCATGCTAGAGCAGTTAATTTCCATTACCCCAGGATACGAAAGGCAACTTTCCAAAGACAGACTTCTCGCCACGTGATCTGCTTTCATCAGAAGGTTGCCTTCAATATGGGGAACTGCTAGCATATTCCTCTTTCCCTTGTATAAGAACTGTAAATAAATAAATAAATAAATTGTGTTTACAATATCCAGGCTGGAAATATATGAATATAACCACCATCAAAAGATAGTACAATTTGATGCGATCAGAATAGTATTTATTGAAGACTTTCTGGTATTATAGGCTCTGAAAAAGCCACACTTCATACATAGCCTATGTTAATTGTTCATATTACTGTATGCCCGTTTCTTCTATGATGCTTAAATTTACTTTAAGGGAGCAGGTTTGTTTTACATTGTCCTCAGACCCAGGTTTCTAGTCCTAATTAGCTAGACTTATAATTAGATTTAAGGAACTATTCTGCTAATAAAGCTGCTCACTTATTTCTTTTTTCCTAGTGTTGTGAGCCCCATTGATGGCAAATCTATGGAGTCGATCACAAGTGTGAAGATATTCCATGGCTCAGAATATAAAGCAAATGGGAAGGTTATTAGGTGGACAGAGGTGAGGAAAGCAAATGGTTTTGTATATTACAGATGGGATCACATCCTGACCTTGTATGATGCAATTTGTGCATCAACCCAAAGTCCAGCTACAAGAAACTGCTGGGAACCCAAGAAAGGATACATTCACTTCCACAAAATATTCCAATGTTAAACGTGAACATATCTCACGTGGTTTCTAGCTTTCCTGGAATGGCATCAGGACTTTGCTAACTTAACTTGGAAACACATAACCCAATATTACCTTTCAGTTGAGAATATTCTGCTATCAGTCACTTTTAAAAAGTTTATTTAATATCCAGCCTTTTTCTCTAAGTGAAATCCAATTATCTCCCTATTTCCCGTGACATATTTAGAGGTGGCCAACTTGCTGTAATTATTGTGGCTGATTTTTTTTGGTTTTTTGCCTTTCTTGATGCTACTTTCACATTCATAAACCTGATATCCATTTTTATTCTGAATATAATAATCTTTTGGTTTTAGCTGTGAAGGAAGTTTTGAACTGGAATGCAGTCTGTTGAATATTCAAAATGAATGAATTGGAAACATTGCTTGTATCTTTTAGTGTTCTCAAGTTGTAATAAAGCATAACTAGGGAGTGTATATAAGAGCTTTTTTTCCTTTCAGGTTTTCTTTCTGGAAAATGATGATCAACATAATGGCCTAAGTGACCCAGCAGACCACAGCCGGCTGACTGAGAACGTGGCTAAGGCTTTCTGCCTGGCCTTGTGCCCTCACTTGAAGCTGCTGAAAGAGGATGGGATGACCAAGTTGGGTCTCCGTGTTACACTTGATGCTGATCAAGTAAGTAGAAAAACCAATTAATTCTGAATGGCACTTTCCTCACCTTCATCTAAAGCATACTTTTAATATATATAACACAACTAAATGTGTAAGATTATGTGTATCTTTTAAGGAGCTGTGTAACCCACAACTAGATATTTCAAAAGTTGTCTTTTCATGAAATACAGCGCATCAGTGTTTCGGTTTGGGTTATGAAGATCTTTTAACAAATAGCAATTTCTGCAGTGTGATATATTTCTGTGATCTATTCTAGTCTTTCAAATTTGGAAATAATGTAGACTTTTGCTTGTGAAGGTCAGAAAGTTCAAAGTGACAATTAGGAAGTGATATGAGACTACGATTTTTGTCTTAGTGTTTCATAGATAATATTGAATATATATTTCGATTTCAGTAGGGGATTGTGTCATTTGCTTTTGGAGGCCCCAGGTGGCACAATGGGTTAAACCCCTGTGCTGGCAGGACTGAAGATCCACAGGTCGCAGGTTCGAATCTGGGGAGAGTGTGGATGAGCTCCCTCTGTCAGCTCCAGCTCCCCATGCGGGGACATGAAAGAAGCCTCCCACAAGGATGGTAAAACATCAAAATATCCAGGCATCCCTTGGGCAACGTCCTTGTAGACAGCCAATTCTCTCACACCAGAAGCAACTTCCAGTTTCTCAAGTTGTTGCTGACATTTTTAAAAAAACTGCTTTTTAAGTATTGTTGCCATACTTGGATTGGCATGTGTGACACTCATTACATATGTTCTAAATAGAGATTTGTTTGAACCTAAATGTTACCTCCGGAATAAAGAAGTGTATTAGTATATTTCTTTTTTGCCAGCTGGTACCTTAATTGAGCAGAATTTCCATTGCAGGAAATCCATAAGTCTTAACACCCCTCCTAATAGTATCCCTCCATGGTATTTATATCATGGACCCATTTTTGTTTCTTTAATGTGAAAACCACAGGTTGCTTTATTAACCATTCCTTGCAAAATATTCTTCTCAGTGACCATAACAGCATCTTTCTTTGTAGATTATAGTAGGGTTTCTTTTTAGCCCATTTTCAATACCAGCTTTCTTTTGTGTTTGTTTCATCCTTGGATTTTCAAGAAACTTACAGACAGTTCAATACTGGGGTTTTATTCCTGAGCAGACAAGTAAAACCTTGTGTTTCCTTCTTATTGTGTTTTTCTGTAGGTTGGCTATCAGGCTGGGAGCAATGGTCAGCCCCTGCCTGCTCAATACGTGAATGACCTGGACAGTGCCTTAGTTCCAGTAATTCATGGAGGAGCATGCCAGCTGAGTGAAGGCCCAGTGATCATGGAGCTTGTATTTTATATTCTGGAAAACATCTCATAAGAGGACTTCATTTTCTGTTCAGACCTGTTCCAGTAGCAGTTGTATCTGAATCATTTGCACTTTAAAACTGGAAAATTAAGCTTTTTGTTGACACTATTATGAGGGGGGAGGGGGGCGTGAGAACAGTTGTTCCCTATTTCTGAATCGTCTATGCATTTGTTAACAAACAGGATCAGGGCAGCTTCTATACTTCAAAATGGCTATGCTATCTTTGTGGTTAATACACTTCTGTTACGGATTAGAAACATGACAAGGGCGGTCATGTATTCAGAGCTTAAACGGGTGCAGAGATCATGGGGAGAAAATAAAAGGAAACAAAATGTCAACATTTAGTGTGTTTAGATGAACCTATTATGAAGAAACAATCAAGACCTCCATTCTGACCTCATTATACTGCCGTTTATGGTTAATTTCTCTAGACATTAAAAAAGAATCGTTTACATTATTTTGACCTGGGTATTGGTCAAAGTACCTCCAAGGTATGTCGGGATATTTCTATATTAGGTGTACAGAAAGAAAGCAGCATGACTGAGGGTATCTTTTAACGTCTGCCCCAAACAAAGCAGCAGTCTCTCTAAAAGCTATATGTAAATTAAGCTTGCCGTTTTGTGTGTATAAATAGGATAGTTTTACCTTATTTTTCCTTAACTGTGAAACTGTCCCTACTTCAGACTGATAGTGTGGCAAACATCTGCCATTGTGAATTTGGGGGGAAAAACACAAAACAAATGTGTCATGGGCATGGGAATTGTTAGCCTTAAAGAGCAGTTACACGGAAATGCTGTTTTCTTTCCAGCTGCTCCTGCTTTTTTAGAAAGGGGAACGCCCTTCCCTGGTTTTCCTGATTGGTGTGCACTGTACCTACATGAGCCCTCCCATTATGCCTGCACTTACATATCACTTTATAATCGCAGCACCACACTAAGCTCGCCTGTGAGAACTACAGTATAACAATTTGGTGGCTGTTGCATGTTTTGCTTTCACTTCAGGCTGGAAAGCTTGTGCTCTGCCGCCTCCAAAACTGACCTTCACCAGGGGGGCAACCCCGAGTCCTCTTGCTGCAACCTGTGCAACTGGCAAGGAGGGTAAGCAGAGGAATGTGAACACATTCCCATTACATGGAGTTTCCACCCTGAAAATCCTATAACTAATGGGGGATAGCTAGTCAAAGAGTAAGAAAGCAAATTTAGGCTTCAAACAGACATGACTGCTGCCATTAAGATGGATTGTCACAGATGTAGAAAGCGATGGACTTAATACAAGCCTAAAAAGTGAAGCAGCAGGGGCAAGCTAAGTGGAAAAGATAAACAGCAGTTGTTACAACCTATTGAAATTTTAAAGAAAGCCAATGTATATAGCAGTGGCAGCTTTGATAGTTACCTTTTCTCTGTAGGTAGAGAAGTACTGCGTAGTAAAGCTCATTGTTGAGCCAGTTTCTCCTGCTTGCCTAGGATTAGTAAAACCCTTGTCCCACAGCCTATTGTAAACCACAGCTAGACATTGAGGGACACAAGGGTATTAGATCTAGGACCCAAATGAAAAGCTAAACAAAATTCAGTTTTGTTTCTTAAATCAACAGCATTATTGCAGGCCACTTTGTCTGACAACAGTTCTTAGGCTCCTGCAAAAGGGGCTGAATTTTGTGTCATGGGATATGGGTCAGGCATGAATAGGCACCACTGAAATCCTTTGCATCCCAAAGGATTCTCAGCAGTTTAAAGAGACTTACGTTTCGTGGGCTTTCTTTTCCTTGCATATAAACTCAAGTTGGTTTTAGGATTTCCTTTCTTCAGTGACAACATTGAGTTTTCTGGTACTCTCCAACATCCATTAAAATTTGCTACTTAGCAGCAGCAGTTTCCTACTTCAATAGACGGCATCCCAATTTCATCACAGAAGCAGCTTTTTCAGTAACTTAGTTTTGCTTTAAAGTTACTGAAGCAGGGAGGGAAAAAACTGAATTTTTCTTGCTCTTTCTCCTTGCAGAAAACCATTTTGTTTGGGTTATGTTTGTGCAAAATGCTATTGACTGACTGGTTTGCTTCAACCATAGCCTTTAAAATGACCTTAAGATTACCATATTGTTAAGAAATGAGTACTTCTTTAAAGAAAAAAAAATGTACTTTTAAAATTCAGTTAACACTGCAAAAGACTGCATATTATATTTTTATTTTCAACATGTAGTTTTGTATATTAAATTTATTAAAATTAAAAAAAAACAGAGTATTGATTTGTTTCCATCCACATAAGGCAGAAACAAAGGTTGCCTGACATGGCACAATTAGATTTATGAAGTCATATCTTTATTTCCTGTGGAAATTGTCTCCAATTCCCCTGCTGTGGCCCATGAAACTGGAGTAAAGGCAGGGAAACCTGGACCCCCAACTTTGTGCGTTTCACATGCTGTATAACAGGTAAGAGTCTTGTTACCATCATTTAAACCAGGCATGGGCAAACTTCGGTCATCCAGGTGTTTTGGACCCAAACTCCCACAATTCCTAACAGTAACAATTCTGGTAAGCTGTTGGGAATTGTGGGAGTTGAAGTCCAAAACCCCAGGGGGGCCAAAACTTTCCCATGCCTGATTTAATACGTTAAGAATCCCAACTTTGTCAAACAAAACCAAAATGATGCGATTCTCAAACTCTTTTAAGCAGAGGAAAGCTTCAGTTCAGTTTCAGCTGGAAGAAAAAAAAGTGTGCTTAAAAGTTAGCTGTTCTCTCCCTCTCATATGATACAGGCCCCCTTCAAAATACTCCTGCTACTCTTATTCTAATCTAGAGCAATTAGAATAAATGGCCAGTGGGAGAGAGATAAGCTTATAAAAGCAATGTAAATGGACATACAGACTGTTAACAGTAATAGCCATGTCACTTAACTCCTCCGTATGTAAGAATAGAGTTTATTCCACAGCTAGGAAAAGCACATTCTTATTTGAAAGTTACATGATAAAACTTCCACTTCTGCAGCACATTTTTATATACCACTACTCATCAAAACAACACTTTTTGTCAGCCGCTGCAAATGTACCCCTCTTTGCATGTCAGCCATCATTTAACAAGTAACATTCATGTAGTACCAATGTTAGTCCCAACAAGTCCTAAGAGAGATCAGTCCATCTTTGTGAATCAACCTTCATTCCTAATAGTAGACTTACAAAGCTTACCAACTCATACTATATGATAGTTATGAAAATAAAGATGTTATGTTCAGTAGTGCATTCATTGAACATCTTTGGTTCTTGCAGAACCTCTTATGTCTGTATAAAGTCCATTCTGCAGCTTTTTTGCATTCCTGGATCTGTAAAGATGGGATAAAAATGGAACATGGTTTTCGCAGTACAGCACGGCAGGGTAGGGCAGCAATCATCATCATAAATGAACATATAGCTTCTGTTACAGAAGTACAGTAGCATGCTTTCAACCCAAAATTATAAAGGCAATGCATAAAATGCTATTCATATTAACATTTCAAAGGTAAATTGATTCCAGTCACAATTTTGGTATAAAATATGAGTACCAGAATTCTTTCTGTGGGCATAATGTAATCATTTTGTTTCTGAGTGATCTGTAGGTTGACTTAATTTGTAAGACACTGCTTAAGTCTTCTTAGACTCCTTAGGCACCGCAGTGATAAAAATAGTTTTAAAACAAAGCATGCTAGATAAAAAGCTAAGATCTGGATCTCTATAAAACAAAGCACCTCTCATAATCTGCTTTTGAATATTGAGTGATTTTATATTCTGCTTTTTATAAGAAATACATTATTCTGTGGAAAATACAGATGCTCTTACCTTGGTGGAATTAATGTTCAAGGACTAGCCAGTTTTCTGTAATTGTTTGAAGGTCTTGACCACTAAGTGGCTCCCTGAGTCTCACTTTTACTTCTAGTTTTCCACCAGTAGGCTTTCTACTATCCATAACCTAAACAAACACAAACATATAAAATGTATGAAAAGTAAAATGACCTAAATCCAGAGAATTTTGCAATTTGCAGTTTGAATTTTTCCCAGCTTCCCAAGCTATAGATTTCATAAGTGGGAGTGCAATGAATTTTTATTTGGCATACTTGTCACCCATACCATTGTCACCCATACCTTCCTTAGGGATATTTGATGTCACCTCCCACATGGCCTCCTTGCAACCGATCCAATCAAACCCATATTTCCTTGACCTCTGAGCAGATTTGTTCCTGCTTTGCAGAGAGCTGGACTGGATGGCTCTTGTAGTCTCTTTCTAGCTTTGATTCTATTACTATTATTACTCATTGATTTTTAAAAATTGTAACCAAATTACTGTTACTTTTTGCTCTTTCTTGCACGTAGTGGATACTAAACCACATGAGCAACAGTATTCATGCCCCATGACATTGGAAGGAAAGGGGAAATTAGCAATGAACCAACAGCAGCACAATTTAGAAGGGGCTATACATTTTTTAAAAACTAGGGTTTTCATACCTTGCCTGTTCGTGAACAATATTCCGACATTTTAGGGCTCATTTGAATATAGGTGCACACATTAAAAAGCTTTGAATATGCGTGTGAGATGCCTGTGAGATGCCTTCTAGTGTGAATGTAGCACCTAATTACAGCTGCCTAGAAGGAGCTTTGGCCTCCTCCTTTCTGGAAAAGCTCCTTGAGGTTGAGCAAAAGGGAGAGAACCATGTTGCCCTACACCACAATTCTTGCGCTTTAAAAACTGCCCCACAAACATATTTACAAAACTTCCATATGCCTACACTTTGAATAACTGGAAAATCCCACAAGTAGGGACAGAGTTTGGATAACTCTATTTCCAAATACTTTTGCATTGGCATACAGAGGACACAAAAATGGGGGGGGGGGAAACAACTCTATATACAACAATTCAGTTACACAGGAAGTTGGTACAGTCTACCCTGTTTTGAAAAAAAAAACTATTTGCATAGCACACAATTGTGCCGTCACTACAGCTCAGTTCAAGAATAAAACCTGCACTGTACCTCAATGATTTCTCTAATTTCACATTCAGATTCCAATTTGTCCAGCTTCAAATTAGCTGTTCCCACTTGTTTGTCACTTCGAAAAAAGGACCTGGAAATAGACATTAAGAATTAGGTTCTTCTCCTAATGATGGTAAACAATCATAGTAGAGCTTCAAAAGTATTCAGAATATGAAACTGTAATGAAGTTCACTCCCAACTCATATATTTTTGTCAAGTTGACAGTGGATGACAGAGTCCTTTGGCTCAACAGAATTCAGCAACA